CTAGTTGAAGGAGCCAATTTCAAAGGGGTGGCCCAGGGAGCCGAGCATGGAGGAGTCCATGTTGGTGCACCGGTGTGGGGAGTCACGCCAGGCATCCAGTGTGATGCCATCCGTAGATGCATATACGGAAGTTGGGTTCAAGTCCCAACCCTCTAGTGCTTGGGTTCGAGTCCCAAATCACTAGGGCATGGTGATGGTTTGGAATATGAGGACACTCATTTTTCGGTGGTCATGGACTCTTAGTGAGGAGACTGGTTTGGGCACACTGCCAAGCGAGGGATGTCTCGGAGTCGTGATGCACGGTTAGATTGCTTAGAGTGAAAGCTCGGCATATCTAACTTGAACACTTTGGTGCAAAAGGCACCAAGGACGTGGTGAATGAGATGGGGACACCCAGTCATCCTTGGCCGGAAAGACTGGCTTGGGTGCACCGCCAAGTGTGGGGGATGCCCCCGGGGTCATAGTTAACAATTTAAAAGGGTCTGAAAGACTTAGTTCCTATTGGTAGACCTGTTAAGGAGTCAAGATGAGATCATCAGTTGATCTTGTGGCTAAACAAAGACAAGGTCTTTATTTGGGTTAAGGAATATGATTCCCAGTTCAAAGTGTTGATTTGAACTATTGATAATGGTGTGACTTGGTCGAGGTGACCAAGTGAGAAGGACACCTAAAGGGAAATCAATTATGCCAATACGACGGTATAGTAAGTAAGTCCAAGAAAGTAGTCTCGGGGAGAGACCCATGGAAGGGTCGCAAAGTTGGGCCGTGGACAAAGCCCGAAGCAGAAATTGCTAAAGAGACCTACTAAGGTGAGCACTCGCTAGACTTACCAAAGTAGAGCCTTTGCCATGGAACCAAAAGGATACCTTGAGAATGGAGGTAGTGATCCTATGTTGCTCAGTGCAACAATCAATGGATAGGAGCAAAAGACTAGTGGCTAAAAAAAGAGCCATGGGAATCCTGGGAAAGAATCCAAATGGCAAAGTTAGGCTGAGAACACTAATGTGTTGGGTGCTAACGGATTGTGGGAAAGGCAATGTTTCCTCAAGGGTGGATTCCCAACCGCTCCGATTTGGCGAAAGTGGATGCTCCAAAAGGGGGAGCGGTAAAGTAGCTAAATAATAGGGCCGTGGGCAACCCTAGCACCAATTATGATAACTGAAACTTAGTGTCAAAGGTGGCACGATATCGGAGAGAGGATGATGGTATCCTCAAGTAAAGAACTTCCTAGAATAGGGAAATGGAGTTGCACCATGTGCAACGTAAGGTGTCGGAGACACCTAGGAAATTGACTTTGAGAAGTCAAAATTAAAAGTTCCAAAATGCAAGGTTATGTCAATGGAACCTGAGACTACTCGAGAATGAGTAGTGGAATTGAGTTAGAGAGGGAGTCTCTAATGGGTTTAACAAGAACTGAACCAATAAAAGGGAGCAAACCACCCCAGATGATCGAAGGAGTCTTTATGTTGGAGAAACTATGCTCCTTCGAGGATAAATAAGGCATGGTGAGCCTTCAGTGTCAAACTATAGACAAATATTGGCTGGGTGTTAAGGATGGAAATGGTAATACATGCAGGTGTTACTTTATAAAAGGGTTTATCGTTCAATGAAGACATCGAACTTCGTCTATGGGTGGTAGAGTTGTGAGACACAAAATCCTTAGGCCCCAAAGTGGAGCCGGAAGGGTGCCACGTGGTAGTGGCTGAAGCAAAAGCCAAACGAGTGTAACACGTTTGGGCCAAAAGCTCCAACTTGAAAGGTCAAGAGCGGGAGTAGAACTCCCAACGAAGGGCTCGAGGAATGAGCACGAAGCGAGCAATAAACGAGGCTCCAAAAAGGGACCCAAAAAGGACCAACACATGACACGTGGAAGAGTCCAAGATGGACCCGAGATGGAGTCCGAGATGGACCCAAGTTGGAGTCCGAGATGGACCCGAGTTGGAGTTCGAGGTGGAGTCCGAGATGGAGTCCGAGATGGACCTGAGTTGGAGTCCGAGGTGGAGTCTAAGATGGAGTCCGAGATGGACCTGAGATGGAGTTTGAGATGGACCCGAGATGGAGTCTGAGATGGACCGAGATAGAGTCCGAGATGGAGTCCGAGATGGATCCGAGATGGAATCCAAGATGGAGTCCGAGAAGGACCCGAGATGGAGTCCGAGGTCGAGACCGAGACCGGGACTGAGACCGGGACCGAGACCAAGACCGAGACCGAGACCGAGACCGAGACCGAGACCGAGACTGGGACCGGGACCGGGACCGAGTCCGAGTCCGAGTCCGAGTTTGAGTCTAAGAGGGTGAAAGCCCAAAGCGTTTGTCTCCCAGACCCTGGGGGGTTTGGTGAGCTCCAAAAGTATAGTAAAGGGGAGGACTGCAGTGGAGCCAATTTGGCCAGGAAAGGCCAGTTTGGCCCAGGAAGGCCAGACCCAGTGTTGGGTGATGAACTAACCACTGGGAAGTCCAAGACTAGAGTGAATACGGACCGACAAGCAAGGTAGCTTGGTGAAATGTTCAAGAGCCGGCTTTAGTTCCCTCGGGAGATCGACTAGCCGATGCTCCCAATCTAAGTGTGGGTGGCACTACCTACTTGGATACCTGGTGTGACTCAACGGAACCTCGCTCTAAGCCCATGGCTAGAGCACCCAAATGTGGAAGGCGGGGAGAGTACCCACGAGGCTTGCATAAGGCCACGATGTTCCGAAATGTTGTCCCAAAGGCTCAGACTGTGGAAAGGAAGAGGAGTAGTCCTCTGGTGTAATGATTAAGGATACAGTCGTGCGGTGAGGAAGTCCCAGAGGACCATGGGACTTAGTGGTCGGGCCTGTGGGCCCTGATCTAGTGGCAGTGTTGGCGAACACGGCTAAGGACAGAAAGGGACTTGGTGGGGACCAGAAAGGAAATATTGGGGAAGGCCATTCCCCATGTCTATAGGCATCTTAAGGATGTTAAGGAGTGGATCTGGGATAATCACTCATGGACGGGTGGCCTAGTCTTTGAGAGACGGGACTATGGTGTAGGTGGTGTCAGACCACTAGTGTGACTAAGGTGAATGGGCATGGCCTTAGCGTAACGGGCTGATGTGTTAGTGGTACCTTGGGGTGTCGGTCATGGGATTGGACACGTGGAGCACTTGGACTAAGTGCAAAGGTTGAGTGGTGGAGATGCCATTCTTGGGGCTAGCAAGCCCAAGTCCAAAATAGGACTTATGGAGGTTGTGAGTGAGACTTCTAAAAGTGGTCGAAGGTGTGGTTAAGTGACTAAAGTAGAATGGAAAAATTAGTCACTTACACTATCCTAGTAGCAGCACTAAATACCCACCTACATTGCTTGAAGGTATCATAATCAGTCCCTCTTGGGCACTTGCCATCGCAATCCTGTGGAATGACCCTAAGAAAGAGATAGGGTTTAGTTGTTTTAGGAAAAGAAAGAAAAATGGGTGAATAGAGATAAGTTGCCAATCATGATTTTATCTTTTGAATTCTCAAGCACCAGCTTGATGCCATCAGGTATGCACCACTTATACTAAAAACCCTAAAATAAAGAAGATCATAATAAATCATTTGATCTTCTTAAAACTTTGCAAGGCATATTTTCATATTCATGATAGTTAGTTTTTATGATCTGCAACTTTAAAATTCAATGTTTAGAATTGGTAAAAAAAAGAGGCACTTGCCTCACTTTACAATAACCTTTAACATTTGTAGCTTTACAAACCTAATAACAGAAACAACACCAATTCTGCCTCACTTATTTTGTTATGCCCATAGATAGATAGCAAATTAACAATGAAATTGCATTCGGAGATATCTTAGCACACATTTCACAATAGTATTCAAAAGGTTGTTCCTCGTTCATGAGATTCAAGTACGAAGCACTCTTGCATTGGAAACAATTTTCTATTGGCATTTGTTATCACAATGAATTCTTAACAGTGAAAAAATATATAGAAAGAGCAACAGAAAAATAATATAATTGTAATTTTAAAAAAAATCGTGTGCCTTTCAGCTATATTCACTATTTGTTTAAAAAGCCAAGAGAGAACAGAGAACCACAAATAGAACCAATGGATTATATAGTTTATAATGTTAAATTTATGGTATGCTATAGTTGATATGATCGAGAGACTCAAACTCTATCTCATTCTTGTGAACGTTTACAGGTAATGATTACATAGCCACTTGCCACTTGACGTTCTTGAGCATGCATTTGTAGAGGAGTACAAAGGCTCAAGACAGTCATGGTAGTGTTGTAAATGTGGCAAGATATGTGTATGTGTAAAATAACGAACCTACCGGATTTTGGTTTTCAAGTAGTGTGGCAATTTTGTCCTATTTAAAAAAAAAAAACAAAACAAAGCAATGCAAACCAAGTCTGCGGACAGATGAGCAAGAGGACAGCTGTTGTGATTTTTGTTATAGTCATGGACAGTGTCGAACTAATCTTTTATTTGTTCCACAGCATAACACAACATCTCCGTGACAACAAGAGAGGTGATTATCCACCTTTCTAGGTCTCAAAACTAAATAGCTACGTCCTTGCGCTTTATTGATTCTTAAAAGTCAAGGCTCCCCTTCTTGCGCTCCGCAAAGCTTCTCCAGTATTTCACCTAGGCATTCGATGCACAAGTTTGTAGACATCAAAATGCTTGGACTCACACTTGTTTCTCCAGTCTTCCCAAGCTGAGCTTGAGCACGATCAGGTCACCCATTAGGCGCGTGATATCCAAGGTACCACTCCACACCAGCCGACCCAGATCACTCTACATGGCATTCTCGGATGATGGCCAGGACCTTCTCATCAAGAGTAGTGTGGAATAAAAGCTGTCCATGGAGATACCTTTCAGTCTCTGGGATGCTGGTACCTCTCTATCTTGCCAGGCCTAGATTCCTTGTTTTTCAGGTTGAGATTGCCACAGATGGCGGGCTGATGTGGCGTTCACTGCGGAAGTGGCGGCTGTGCCACGCGGATATGCCACGTATAGTTTGAAGTTTAGGGTTCTTGAGAAGTATGGCGATTAATAGGTCCGTGGTGGTGTACGAGAACGATGGCGGCGCGCTCTATAATTACGTCAACAGCTACCTCTCCTCTCTCGCAGTCAATCCGGAGCAGCCGGCGCTCTTCAGGGCGAGCTTGATCGACGACAACACGCCCCTCATCTTGGGGCTCCAGCCGGGCTTTCCCGTGCGTGACAAGTTCCAGGGCCTGGATTTCGAGTGGAGCGCGGGCGTGGCCACTGATGAATCGCCCTATGTCATGGCGGCGTTCCCGCCGCACTGCTCCAACGACGTGATCCAGGCCTACTTTTCTCACATCACCGCCGCCTCCAAGCGCCGCCGCCTTTTCACCGTGAGGCCACCTGGTATGCACGAGATGAGCTGGGCGAGCTGCGAATTCGATCATCCCGCGAGCTTGGAGACGCTGGATAGCTCCATGGATGCCGAGCTCAAGGAGGAGCTGGTCAAGGATCTGGAGGCGTTTGTGGGAGCTCAGGACTACTACAAGAGGATTGGGAAGGCGTGGAAGAGGAGCTACCTCGTCCATGGCCGCCAGGCGAGTGGGAAAGAGCAGCTCGTTGCCGCCATAGCCAACAAGCTCGGCTACGATGTTTATGATCTCGACACTGGGTTGGTGGCGACCAAGGCGCAACTCAAGGAGATCTTGATGAAAACTGGGAGGAGGGCAGTGATCTGTGTGCATGGGATCGATAACCAGTCGGTCATCAAGGTGAAGATGGCGGATGTTTTGGACGCGAGCGATGGACTGTGGGCTCCGGACGAGAGGATCTTCGTGTTCGTGTCGGACGAAGCCAAGCCGGACACCGTCTTCCCGGGCTGCCAGGGCCGGATCGATTTCTACGTGGCCATGGACACCAGCGGCTTCCAGATGCTCAAGTCGACAGTGAAGCTCCACTTGGGCGTGGAGGATCACAGGCTCCTGGGCGAGATCAAGGGGCTGATGATGGATCGGAAGGAGGAGGTCGACGTCGGCGAGCTCCTGGCGCTGGTGCTGGGGACGAGCAGCGGCTCCTATCCGGAAGATGTGCTTGAAATGGTGGCGGAGCATCTCAAGAGCAAGAAAACGAAAACGTCGCCGGCCTCTCCATCGCCCTTCGCAGCAGCAGCAGCACCACCGTCACAATCGCCCTTCGCACTAGCACAATCGCCCTTCGCGCCAGCACCAATATTCTTCGCACCAGCACCAACACCACCGCCACAATCGCCCTTCGCGCCAGCACCAATATTCTTCGCACCAGCACCAACACCACCGCCACAATCGCCCTTCTTCGAACCAGCGGCACCTTTCGAGCACACATTCAGTCCGTGTATTGGCGGAGCTCAAGCGCCGTCCTGGGCCTTCTTCACACCATCGTGTCCTTTCGAGGAGGTATCGACTCAAGCTCCAGCAAAGAACACGTCCTCCGGAGGCTCGTTTCCAGCGAGGGCGGCGTCGTCGACGCCCAGTGCTGCACTTGGGACGGCGGCGGCGATTTTTGGCGGAGGAGGAGCTCCAGCAAGCGCGCCCAGTGCTGCATTTGGGGCGGCGGCATCGGCGGCGTCCGTGTCCCCGGAGGAGGCGCGAGCGAAGTTTTACCGCTGCTACAACGTGGACAAGCATTACGGCGTGACCATGGACAACTTGGACGCAAGCTCCCCATTCTGCAAATCGAAACCCAGTGCAGAAAAGAAAACTCTCTCCGCTTAGATTCCCCTCTCCAGGTTTTCGATTGATACCATGCTGCTAGTAAAGCGATGTTTCCTTTGAATCCAAATCTAGTAGAAGCTTTTTGATCTAGTTGTGTCTATGTAGAGGAGACCAGGCCGCACTTATCATGGCCCGTGAGCCAAGTAAAGCCGGCAGACAGCACCTCCTTGGAATCTTTGTCACTCTATGTGCACACAACCGTGTGAAAATCACAGCCCAAAAGGCTCTCGCCACACCGGCTTAATTGTGCACAAGCCAAGCAAGCAATTCTACCATAGCTCTCTCAAAACCCTAGACCCAGCCGCATTTTCACACGCAACCAACGGCCCAGATCGCATCTCCGCATCTCAACGGTCCAGAATGTTAATTAATTATTTCTAAACAAATCCTTAAGGAGAAGTCGTTAACGCTTGGCTATGGAGGGATGGAACTTAGCAGCACGAAAATCGCCGAGTTGCATCGTCCTGGGGTGATTTTCCATCGCCGGCCCCGTTCAATCCGAGCTTCTGGCCGCGAGGGACGCGGTCGTCTTTGTCGTAGTCGTCCGGGACGATCCTCCGGCTCTTGGCGTCGAAGATCTCGCGGACAACGTTCTGGAACGCCGTCTTCACGTTTGTGGACGCCAGCGCCGACGTCTCCATGAAGAAGAGGTTCTCCGACTCGGCCAGCTCCTTGCCCTCCTCGACGGATACCTCGCGGATGTTTGTGAGATCGCACTTGTTGCCTACCAGCATTGTCACCACGCTCGATCCTCCGTAAGCTATGGAAGCGAAGCTGGGTTAGAGCAATCAAAAGCCCAAGGCAATCAAGCTCAAGCACTAGTGGAAACAGAGAGGCCTCTAAACCAAAGTGGATTTCACGCATCAAGGGAGTGTCAACTAGACTGTGCATTGATGAAAAGGCAGCAAACCACGTCGCGAAGAACACCAAGAAAAGAATGATTTCTACCACCATCTAGGCCGTGCATCAAGAACAATGTAAACATGACGACGTGAACAAAATCGACAAAGAGAGAAAAAAAAACAAAGCGATGCAAACCAGGCTACTAATGCAAACAGAGAGGCCTCTAGAATTTCAAGTAGCAAATCAATATCAACTAGACTGTGCATCGATAGATACAAAACAACGTCGCGAAGAACACCAACAAAGAAAAGAATGAGTTCTATCACCATCTAGGCCGTGAATCTGCCACGAAGTCAAGAACAATGTAAACATGACAATGGAAAGAAGAAATCTCAGTGCAAACCGATGCAAACCAAGTCTAGGACAATGCAAGCAAGAAAAAAGAAAGCAAAGCACAAAGAATTCCGAGGAGAGTAGAGTAGAACTTACTTCGCAGCTCATCGAGCCATTTGGAGATGTTCTCAAAGGTTTGCTTCCTGGTGATATCGTAGACAACGAGGGCTCCAAGCGCGCCCCTGTAATAGGCCGATGTCACAGCCCGGAACCTCTCCTGCCCAGCCGTGTCCCACACCTGCGCCTTGACCTCCTTGCCATTGATCCTCATGCTCTGCGTCTGGAATTCCACCCCAATCGTGGCCTTGGAGTTCTGATTGAACTCGTTGCGAGCATACCTCGTCAGCAAATTCGACTTGCCCACCGCCGAATCGCCGATGAGCACTACCTTGAAGATGTAATCCTCGCCGGCCTCCTCCTCCTGGTACCCCATCGATCGATCGTGCTTTCTTTCGACCCTAGCTAGCTAGGCGGCCAAGAATCTCCCGAAATTTCGCTTCCTAGTGGAAGAAATCTGCGAAATCTTGGCAATGCAGTACCAGGAAACCGGATTTTGAGCGCGATCTAGCGCCGCGGCTGCTCGGATCAAACCTATGGCGACGATGATCGCATGGAAAGAGAATCTGTACGACTGCGGCAGATAAATCACATCAATGACGCGAGAACAGCGCCTGAGCTAACTGCAAACCCTACGACCGCTCATCACTCTCTGCAAAAAAAATGGATCGAATTGATCCACCGATCCCTCCCTTGCGGAGACGTCACGTCGTGGACACGCTGGATGCGTGTGGTCCCATCGCCACCGTTGCTTGTGCCACGCTCATCGACGGCCACACTTTAAAGTAGGGGAAGATTCCTCGCGCCCTAAAATCCATTAACGGAATGTGCTTTGCTAGTGGCCTGGCAGAATATCCTAAGTAGCCGACGGAATATCTCTCAGCTCTTTCCTCCTCCCTCCTGTTTGTTCTTCTTTCCAAACCAGCTCGCGACGATTGGCGTCAATGCCACTGTTGGAGGGAATCGAATTGGCGAAGCAGCTTTGTGTGCGGCGTACGCGAGCGCCAGAGTTCCAACTTTCTCGCCAGTTTCGTTGCTCTGGATTCCCACCTGGTTGGATTCGCGATGGAACTTCGTGAGTGAAGAACACAAAGAATTTGATTGCTCGCTTACCTTTGCAAGCAGCGATGGAACGTCCACTCCCGCGTTGATGAGAAGGTAGCACAGCGCGAACGAGACCGCCGAGAGAGAGATGGAAGTGACTAGATACGCGCCACCGTATCTAGCGAGTAGCTCTTTGGCTTGGACTTTCTTCTCGCCGCTCTCGTTCTTCTTGGAAGAAAAAATCTGCAAGACGAGATTTTTTTTCTGAGAAAGGAAAAAGGGAGAGCGAGAGTTACCTTCCACAGACCAGCTTCCAATCCAAATTTCCTCGTCACTTCTTCGACACCGTCGTCTTTGTTCACAGCATCTGTTTCCACCGACTGCTTCGTTTCCTTCTCCTTGTTCATCACAGCGCTGCATATCCTTCTTGGCCTTCTCGTTTTGGACACACAAAGGCCTGCCCCCGTTCTTCTCTGCGGCTGAATTGTCGACCCAAAACTTAGAGCTTGCGAACAAGCCATGGCCACCACCGCCATTCCCTGGACTAAAGTTCTCTTCTAACAAGTATCCCACCGCCCCAGCTCCCTTAACAGTGATCTTTCTCTTAAAAACAAACTCGTTATTGTTAGTCAATGATACAAAACGAAGCTGTACAGTAACGAATACACACATACGTACTACACGCGTTGCTGTCAGAGGCCCTGGTAGAGAAGCACGACCGGAACCGCCACCAGAAAGATGGAGGCCACGGTCGGGACGAGGACTCGCTGGTGGAACGCACGGCCGATCCCTCCAGCTCGAGAGATGTGTTGGAATCCCAAGTAGGATGATAGTGTGGCCCATATGATCAGTCCCGCTTGAGTCCCTCTATCATACACGGAGCAAGCAAAGTTAGGCATCACTTTCTTGAAAGAAAGAGTGAGAAACTATACCTTTGCTGCATCACTTGGTATGGAGCTGTAATGACGAGCAAGAGAAGAACCAAAGGAAGCTCAAGCTCTCCTGTTAAATACTACCATGGTTACACCAACGAGAGAAGAAAAACTCGAGGCTATCAACGAACCTGGTATGGTGTAGAAAAGCCGGACAGTAAGCGCTAGAAATGCTGACCACAATCCATATTCACCCCTGCAAGACCAAGATCAATATCAACACACAGGCAGAAGAAGAAAAAACCAGTGAAAGCAGAAACTTACTTCATCCAGTTGATAACATTTTGAGGCATTTGCAATGCCAAGAGTGGAACGAGCAGCGATTTTCGAACTCCAGTGTTCTTAACAAGGAGAAGAGCCCTGGAAGAAAAAGAAATCAAGACCAAAGTTTTCATCGCAAAGAGAATTCTTACACAGCAGACACTGTCGAGACCCATCGTAGCGTCTCGCCCGAGCACTGCGCAGAGAAAGCTCCAGTTTTACATCCCCTCTTCATCATTCTCGATGAAAATGCCAGTGGAATTTTCTTCCTGGCGAGACAAAAAAAAAACAGAGAGAACGACTGTTCAAATCGGGAACGTTCTCCAACTGTCAAGGGGGAAAAATGTAACCGATCCAAGAGCCAATCCAAGCGAGGGACGCGTCGGACTTACCCGATGGTCGACGAGGAGGAAAATAACGATCGCCCGCGCGGCGCCGGCAATCCCAGCTGCTGGTGATGGCAGACAAGATCCATCCGCGGCGATCCACTCGGGATCGCCATCGACGCAAGCGCCAGTGGCATCGCCATCGCCATTCTCAAAACCCTAGCCTAGCTTGATATGCGAGCCTAAAGTTTTTAAAATTTCTCTCAAAAATTCATCTTCTTCTTCCTCTCGCGTTTCGCTCAGACCTGGTGCTTGACGACGCGCTGCGAGTGCGATTTTTTCTTCTTGTGCGTGGTGATGGCGATCGCCATATCGTTGGGGAGGAGCGTCCCCCACAGCACGGCGTGGAGGATCGAGAGGACGAGCACGCAAGCGACGATCGCCACGGACAGAAAGATGAAGAAGCTTGTCATTGCATCGGTGAGCCACGAGGAGACTACCAGGCCGTAGCGATTCGCGGTCATCGCGATTGCTGCCACTGGGAATGTGTAAGCCCACCACGCGATCGAGAACCTGGAAGCCAAGTTAGAGAAACCATGCGAGGAGAAAGAAAAAATCGATTTTGACGAGTACCTGAAGCCGCGAAAAAAATTCAACCGGACAATCTGCTCGAAGATGAAAAGCGAAAAACGATACGATTAGTTTCCGGCTGGAGAAAAGAAATTCTAGCTAGAAGAAAGAAAAGCAAGCTTACCAGTGAGATGAAGAGAAAGAGTCCCACGAAGTGTATGAGCCTGGCCGGGTAGTCAAAACTTCCAGCGAGCATCTCCCAGGCCTCGCTAGCGATGCTTGGAGCAGCGATGAAGAGGAAAAACACGGGGTGGAGCTCCTTCGGGAGCGTCTCGTTTGTCGGCAGCCTCTGGTAGAGCGTGACGAAGAGAACCACGTAGTGTGCCAAGCCGACCGCGAAGAGGAAGATCGCAAACTCCTTCCACCCAACGACGTGAGAAAGCAACGATCCGACGAAGTTGCCCGTGAGCGCCAGGTGAGTGGTCGGGTTTGCGACCTTGGACAGCCTTCTCTCGCCTCCAAACAGCCACTGCCCGTAGATCTTCACCTCGAGAGCAAACACCGGCCCCATGAAGACGCCGAGCAGCCACGGATGGAGCCGCTTGGCGATGTCTTTCGGGGTACTCAGCGCCAGCAGCATGGCCGCCACCCAGGGAGCGAAGAAATAGTTGACTCTCACTGGATGATGAAACTCCCGGCGCACGGCTTCGAAGTAGAAGACGCACTTCAATGCGTAGGCCGAGAAGAGGACGGTGTGGACGAACACCCCGATCGACCACAGCGCGAAAAGCACTCCTTTGGGGACGTGTTTCAAGTAGCTCAGCGATGACGCGTCGTGGATCTCGGCCCAGAGAAGAGACTGCGCTGAGAGTCCGATGCTTACTCCGAATACATTGGCTGGTACGCGAAGTAGAAAAGGCCACTTTTGATCCAGTGGCAACAGCAAATCCTCGGAATCCTGGAGTGGAAAAGGTTACCTCTCTAGATCATCGAGCTCGCGGAAAAAGCTTACCTTGAGAACTTCGAGCTCGGGGCCCTGCAACGCATCGAAGAACCTCCCCGCCGGGAGCTCCTCGTCGGTCTCAAACTTTGGTGGAGGCGCATCGCCGTTCTGCTTGGAGAGCCACGGGATTTGCTTCTCTAGGCTCTTGGACGACCTTGTCTTGAACAAGTTGTAGCTCGTCGACGTGGGTGGCGATTGCGGTGGCGACTGTGAAACTCGATCAACTTGACTGGAACCGGCCTCGGGTTGCTTTTCCGGCGACTCGTCCAGAGGATCACTCCTCCCCATGACCCTAAGAATCGCCCGCATTCATGTGAAAACGGACAGTTAGTCGACGTGGCTGACCCCTCCAATGGTTTGCCTGCTCCTGTATTCCTGTTCATCTCCTGTTTCCTGTTTCCATTTCTTCCACTGCCACTAGACTGGAATCGCGATCGAGAAAACGTCCTGCTCGGAGATCTTCCACGAGTAACTCTTTCTCGAGCGTTGGTTTTGCAGAGTCGTGTTCTTCCGCCTCTCGAGAAGAACTACCGAGCTATTGCAACTCCTCGTCGTTCTAAGCGTGACGAAGGACTTTTTCGTGGCACAAGGTATCTTCACGGGTTCCATGCGCTCTGGAAAAGACAGGTCCGAAGAAGGCTGGCTTGGGAAGTTCTTCGTCTTCTCTCCACCACCTGAGGCTTGTTTCTGCTGTTGATGCCTCCTGAGCATCGGGAAAGTAAAAGCTCGGAGCCATGGTGACATTGTGATCGCCGCAAATGCCGTAGGAAACGCTGACTTTGAGGTTCTATCCGAGATTTTCTCGTCCGGCCTGTTGCTGTCCTCTTCTAGCATCGCCACCTTACCAAAACCGCGAGGTTTCTTATCCTCTTCTCCCTCTTCTTCGCCATCTTCATCTTCATCCACTTTACCGAAGCTTCGAGGTTCGTCTTCGTCGTCAGCTGTTTTTCCAAAACTTCTCTTGGTGTCCTCTTCAGGCTCAACCTCATCCTGTTCCACCGCTTTGTCAAGAGTTGAAGGCTCTTCTTCTTCTTCCTCATCTTCCTCTACCACAGTTTTCTCCGTTGGCTGTTCCGGCTTTTCCATCTTCTCGGGTCCCTTCGTTTTAGCTTCTTTGCGCAATCTGTCTGCTTCGTCCATCGCCTGTTCAATCTCGTCCAGCTGTCGGAGCTCCTCTTCAATTGCCTCATCTTCAATTTCAGCTCTCAGCTTCATTTCCTCTTTCCGTTCCTCGTCCTCCTCACGCCACCTCCGCTCCATTTCTTCTTTCTCCTTTTGCCATTCCCGTTCCATCTGCTCGTCTTCTTCCTTGTACTTTTTCAGCCTCTCCTCTCGCGTCAGATCTTGTGGATCCTTCAGTTCATCTGGATCCTCCATTGGCTCGTCCGAGAAAAACTCGTCCCAACCATCAGGTAGAAACACAGCTTCCTCCGGCTTTATAGATCCGTCTTCTTTGTATGGCTGCCAGAAGAACTTTATGTTTCCATCTTTATCGTAGATCCAGTTGATCAATCGACCGGTCGGAACATGATAGAGGATTTCTCCCTCGAAATTTGGATGAGACTTCAGCACGTTCTCCTCGTCAAGCCATCCGTAAGAGGAAGGCTCGTTGGTTAACACTATAAACTCGTCACCTGTAACAATATTCATCACTTCAGAGCAACCCAAGTGTAGAATGAGCAAATGTACCATTTTCCCACATGTATTCCAGCTCGGCAGGCATTGGTATTCTTAGCGGTGATTTGATGAACGAGTTAAGCCACATTTGCTGTTCTTTATCCACCTCCTCAACGTAAATCTTCCATGGATCGGGAACCTGCATCTCACAGAAAAGAGAAGACATACATTACAACTTCAAAATGACGCTGAGGCCGACCTCGTAATAGGCATTGACCCAGCCTGGAGCCATCCAAACATCTTCATCTTCGTAAAAGTAAGGATGCTGAGGATCATTGAAAGGACCGTCCATCTCCCGCACCACTGCAAGTTTTTTATGCTTGAGCTTCCACCGTAAAGTAGTTAAAAATGTACGTACTTCCATCCGGTTTTTTAGTGAACATCTTCGCTTTGGCTGCAGCCACTTGGGCTAAACCAGAGTGGATCTACACGACGATCAAGTAAAATTAATAATGCGAATGTCTGTAGCATAGTACTCACAGCGCAAGCCTCCAAAGTACATTCGCCGGGATCTCCTAAGAGCTCTCCAAAATAGAACTTTCCCTGAACAATATAAGCCAAGTTTGACACATCTGTTGGTGTAAGAAAGAACTCTTACGTAAATCAGGCGCGTGTTCACATCAAGCACGCCACATCCGTGCATACGATTATGCTTCCACTGTCCAGAATATTTATATCGACCCTTTTCTCTGCAAATTTCGCAATATCCGTAAAATGAAATAAAACAAGAAAAGTAACTTACGGCAATTCTCCATACAGCTCAATCCAGTATGGATCGTTCTCGTACAACTCGGACGCTTTCATGGTTACGTTCGGCTTCTCCAGTGTATCTTCAATGTCTTTCTTTAGCCATTCACGTTCTTCCGGAGGCATGTAGTCAGCTTTGATAATCCAGCCTTGATCTCTCATTTCTTTCTCGAGCCTGCAAAACAGAACGGAGTAACAACTTCACGACACAAGCACAGACTTACTTGGAGTCCGGCGGCGGCTGATATACTGGAATATGAACATGAAGCACCCCGTGTCCTTCCATCATGTTTCGCCGCCACATACCTTCATATCTGCGCATCCAAACTTGTCAATCTCATATGCACAGAAATGTCAGATGAAATGGCTTAACTGTACGTCCTCAAACATGGATGTGTAGACTCCCTTTCCATGAGCAAGGTCGTCCCAAATGGTTCCTTCGTAGCTGAGAAAACCGACAGAAAGAGGTATAAACAACAAATAGAAAAGGAAAAAGAACAAACCTCGATCCATCAGGGAAGATATAACTCCCCCACCGTAAGAACTCCTCGATCTTTTCCAGCTCTTCCACCACATCGAACGCATTCTCAACCTCGGCATGGATCTTTGGTATGGAAGGATAAGGCAGGCGATAAGGCACGTAGTATGGCCGTGCTGGATATCCATCCTCGGTCAGCGGCGTTTTCTGCTTCTTCCTGTGCTCAAAGAGCTTTGGATCATATCTATCCGGCGGGTTCTTGAGCATCTTCATCCTTTCTTCCTTGAGCTTGTCCATATACTTCTTAAACTCCTTCTTCTGCTTGCGGCTTCTCTTCGTTTGCTGTGCGATAACTTTGTCCAGATCTTCGTCGGGAGGAGGTGGCGCAAACATTGGATCATATCCACTGCCAGTGGCATCGAGAGGAGGATCCACCCATTCTTCTCCAAGGTCCTCTTCCGTCCACCCTTCCAAATCCACCGGGAAGTTCCAAGTCGCCTCATACTCGTTCTTGAGCCTGTCCTTGATAATCTCCTCCTTCTTCTTCACTCTCTCGAGCTTTTTCCGCTGGCGTTCCTCGGCAATACGACGATCTTGTTCCCGTGACAGCTCCATAATCTCCTGCTCTCTCAGCTTCTTCTTCTCCGAATCCTCGTCAGGCTCCTTTGGCTCTTCCAGCTGCGGGGCTCGACGCCTAGGCGGAGGAACGAATCGAAATTCCACTTCCTCCTCCGACTCCTCCTCTTCCTCGGGAAGAATTTCCTCCTCGTCCGTCCCCCACGTCTCCTGGTCTATCAAATCCACAATGTTTGGCTCCGGAGGCTTGGGAAACACTTGCACATTGCCGCGATAGTCCTCATAGCGCATCATCTCCGGCTCGTTCTTCTTCTCCACCGCGGCTGTCTCGGCCTTCGTTGTCTCCTCCGTCTTCGCCATGGCTCCAACAGCACTGTAGGCACGAAATTCTGAGTGGAGAAACATCGAAGAATGCAGCAGCGCAGCTCAGATTGAGCGCCAATCTCGAATCGCGCAGCGCATTCGCTTCTACATTTACCTCGCGAAGAAGAACCGCCGAGCGCTCCAACGAAGAACCCTAGATAGCCAAAAAAAATGGAGGGTTTTGGTGGGGGATAAGGTACAAATGGCACACAAACAGTGGTAAAAAGGTAAAAACTTCTTTTCTTTATCTCTGTACAAGAGTATTTACAACGCTGTAAAAAATCAAGAGGGCTTGGAGGTAACTACATACAAGCATTTCCAGCCGGTTTATTCTTTTTTTTTTTTTTTTTGGCTCGTTTTTCTTCGTTGGAATCCAATGGTAATTTCGTTGGTTTTTTTTCTCTGTTTTCGAATTTTTTTGTTCTTTTTCTCAGCCTGGAACTTGGGTGTTAAATCTGCAGTCAAAGTAAGCACGCTCAAAAACTTTGGCTTACATCGTCGGTCACATAGCGTCCATCGCACTCCACAAAACAAGACTGCTAGAATACTTCCATCATCTTCTTCCATTATTCCTTCCACTCCAACGACGTAAGCCTAGTCTGGAAACAAGAGATTATCAGCAAACACTAGAGAAAACGAAAGAAAAACTAAGTTTGAGTACCTTCTTCACAGAAGGGGAACATTGCTCCTTCCCAGCTCTCTGCGCCGTGACTCTGCTGCGCCTCGTTCTCGGCATTCCCTGCTTCACAGTCCACCGCCGCAGCAGGCTCGGGTTCCAGAGCTGGGCCGGGATCCTGCAACTCGTTGGCCATCGACGCTGCAGCAATCGCTTCCTCGGTCGGAGCTGGAACAAAACTCTCCAAAGTTGTCGCTCAGTGACAAACTTGAGATGACTGACCTGTTGTCGGGTTTGGAACCGCAGCTAAGACGTGATTAGCATGCAAGCAGTTCGCGCTGAATAAATCGTTCTGCAGCATCCCTCCTGGAGATGCCGCCGTAATATACACATCAGATCCTGCGGTGCAAGCAAACATCAAAAAGGCTTGCTACGGTAAAAAAAACCAAGAAACTCGACACAAACCTTGATAGTTATGGTGGAAGCCATTAGATCCACAGGACGAGTCAACTAAAGGGCCTTCGGATCCAAAGCTACTTCCACTACTTGATCGCTGGATTTGCGTCTCCAAGTTGTTATGCAAACGGTATTTCGGGACCGCAATTCCGTCTCTGTGAGCACGAAGGAAAAGTTAGCCATTCTCCAGAAAGTAAAAACATACCTTTGCTGGAGCCTGTCCACCAGAGGTTTCAAGTCCTTTCTTCGGATCTCAATCACCTGGTGCGGCATCTTTTCTATTTCGAGCTCCTGATTGTCCTTCACCAGTAGTGCATGGAAGTACACCTGAAAAGCCAAACCGTTAGTAAGCTGGAGAAAACGAAAACACGAGAGAGTTGCTTGTAACGAGAGTTTACATTAGGCTTGGCCCAAATCGGGAGCGGCCGTGCTTGGCTAATCTGTACTTCGGCGTTGGACATGTACCAGCGTTGTAGCTCCTCCACTTTCATCTCAGTTTTCAGAGACTGCTCGTCCGGGTAGCTGGCCTCGCGCTCGAGCCAATCTTTTCGCCGACAGATATCCCACTTCTCAGACGGCTCCACGATTAGCCTCAAATCCTGAGACTGCCCCGGACTGCTCGATCCTTCTGTACTGTATCCACCCTCCCCTCCTGTGCATGGTCTCAGCAAGTATTTCGTAAGGTAGCCGGACGGACAAAGCACCCACAGTTTATCCCTCAGGCTACAGTTCCCGCCTTCCGAGCTTCCACAGTCACCGTCGTGAAACCCGGCTGCCACAGCCCCGCTACTTGCACTGGAGCCATTAGGCCGTCCGGTCCCTCGCCACCCCAGTCCATTCTTTATCCTGCTTACCACGGATAGAGTGATTGCGGGCGGCGGCGGCGGTAGAGCCTGTTGAGAAGCACGAAGCGGGCCGTTGCTAGTCCACCAAGGATAGGCCGGTGTAGGAACCACCATGGGCCCGGTGAAAGGATCCACCGAGCAGGCGCCATGGGTCTGAGGCCCGACACCTCCACCGAAGGGTGAAATAGCGAACAGATGACTCGTGCCCCTGGAAGTGCTTACCGAAATCCAATGACTGTCGTGGCTGAAACTGATGTCTTGGATAACCTGAGATGCTGCTCGTAAGAAAAATGTTTCGTTTCAGTAAAGGTAGAACCTTACCGCATTTGTAACGCCTCTACAGAGCTTGTAAAGGTGCACGTGCGAGGCCTTTGCATCTGCTGTCGGAGTCAGGCGGAACACATTCAGGTTGTGGCCGTACACGGACGCCGTAACGAGAAGCGTTCCACTCGGATCGAAACAAAGTGCAGATATCGGGCTGGAATGCGCACGGAATTGCGCGATGATTTTATTCTCTACGTAATCCCGCACAATCACCTGTTAAAAACTTATAACCATCAGCCCAAGGAAAGAGGAAAGGCAGAAAACTTACAGTTCCCGCGTACTCGGTTTCAGTACTAGCTCCATTACTTGCACCCTCCGGCAACAAGTCGGAGCAGTACTTGGACAAAGTCTTGTATCCCATATCACCAAGTGTCATGATCCCCGCTGCCAACTGCTTGCTCGACTCCATAGCATAGTGAGCAACCAGGCCACCACTCGCAGGTGACGTAGACGGGCTGATCCCCGGAGATATCAGGTGTTGCGGTGAAACGCGACCAACAGAGGACATAAACGGTTGGTTGGCTGGGTAAGCCATCCACCTGGGACCGAGTGCCAAGGCTCCATATCCAGCATTGGCTGCTCCCAGCCCAGCACTAGGCATACTATAAGTCAACACACTGACAATAGTCTGAAGGGTGTCGGCGTCGTAGCCATAGATCTGGAAGACAAAGTAAAAGCACGGCACTGTAAGAGAAAAGGAAAGCTAACAAAGCCAGGTTGCGTACCTGGTTGGCGAGAGCAACGGCAATCAGGCGTCGGCTGCACCGAACAGCATAAATACCAGTCCGGAAGCGCAGCTCCTTGACGTAGTTGTGCGTCCTCAAAGAATAGAAGCGAACTACGGTTGGAACGAAATGCGGGTGCACGGCCCTCACTGTTCCGTTGGAGCCAGAGTTCCCTCTAGCGTAGTCCCCCGTAACAACCAGCAGTAGAGGCTCCACATCCTTGAGTTCTCCAGCTTGACTTTCGGTTAATGGCTTGAGCCGCAGGAATGCAGCACGTCCATCGCGTTTTGATACGATGTCTCTTACGCTGCCGGCATCTTCCAGGTCCCAGACTTGAAAACCGTGAAGATACGTGAGTAACAACACATGACGAAACAGGCCGGGGCCAACTTCCAGAGTGTCCAGCGAGGCCCATTGCACCTGCAGCAAGATTCCAAAGAAACGTAAGTAAAATAACGCAGGAAAAAGAAGAGCATGACAGCAAACTCTATCTGCAAGAACAAGAAAACAAGGACGTAAATGCAAGCGTAAACCCACGTGTCAAAGGCAATCCCCTTGAGAAGATATGATCTTTTCACGAGCCCCAAACAAAGCATAAGACCAGAGAAACAATTCACTTTGGAACAAAAGCAAAAAATGAATCGCAAGATCAAAAAGAAAAATCAAAGTACCTGTTCTCGATGCTTGTCCTCCTCGTGAGAGGCTGTAGAAGTTACCGAAGAGCTCGCGGTGCGTACAGTAGCAGCGATATTCCCAGCAGAAACGCTACGCAGGTAGCTGGAGATCGCTCTCCAAGTGAATTTGCTGCTACCATTCCGTGCTACCCCAAAGCGGGGGCTTCTCGAGCTGGCATCGTTTCTCATCCCCTCGAATATCTCCTCTTCTTGCATAACCCACTTGGATTGCCGCTATGCGTCCATAATTCACACTAAGAACCAAAAAAAGAGGCCTCGCTATATCAATCCCACCCAGCAAATTCCCCAATGAATGATTTTTTCTACGCGCGCTCCTCACCAAATTCCTCTATCCTGTCCCTCGCTTGTATTCACAGCCCAGCTCGAAAAAAGTCCCGCCTCGCAAGCTAGCCCGAGCAAAAAGCTGTGGCCACCACCGAAACCCTTGCGCGCACTCAAGCTAGACACAGCCAGGAGCCGTGCCAGAATTTGAGACCTAGCGTCTACTCCACCGCTGGAATCGATCGATCCGGCGACCCTAAAACCCCAAGAATTTCTTGTCTAGAAAACTCGCCAAGGCGCCAGCGCCTTGCCCCGCCGCGAGCTCACCTCGCCATCGCCATTTCCCGGATTGCCCTAATCGACTCTTTCTCCGTCCTTGTCTTCTTCCCTCGTCTCTCTCATCGTTTCTCCGTCCTTAAATACCATGTGATCGTGACGGGCGTAAGGCTGGGATATTCCGTCCCCTGGTGGGATATTCCGTCGCCCATGATCGCATTGACCAAGGCCATCGCCGCGCTCGCGCGAGATGGGCGAGTGGAGGACGCGGCCAAGCTCTTCGATTCCATGGCGGAGCGCGATCTAGTGGCCTGGAATGCGATCCTCGCTGCCCACGCTCGCTCCGGCGATCTGGGAGCTACGGCAAAGATCTTCCGGGAAATGCCGCAGCGGGATATCGTGTCGTGGACGACAGCGATGGCGGCGTACTCGCGGCGTGGCCTGCTCGACCACGCCTCGGCGCTCTTCGATCGGATGCCGCTCCACGACCTCGCGTCCACGAATGCGATGATCGCGGCGCTCGCGCGCGCGGGGGAGATCCTCGCAGCGGAGGAGCTCTTCGATTCAATGCCCGTCCGGGATCTTGCGTCGTGTGGCGCGATGCTGGATGGCTATGCGCGAGCTTCGCGATCAATCCAAGCAGGGGAATTTTTCCATCGCGGCATGCCGGAGTGGGATCTCGTGTCCATGACAGTGATGATCAATCTCTATGCCCAGTTGCGGCATTTCGACGCGATCCAGCGCTTGCTGGATCGAGTTCCGATAGAGGGTCTCTATCTCTGGAACTCACTTCTCTCGATCTATGCCCGGGAGGAAGATCTCGCCAAAGCTAGAGAGGTTTTCGATCGAATGCCACAGAGGGACATAGTTTCTTGGAACTCTCTCCTCTCGGCAAATGCCAACTCTCGGAATTTTGGAAGAGATGGGGATGATCCCGAGCTCCTCTTCGATCGAATGCCGCAGCACAACCTCATCTCCTGGACGATCCTCCTAACTTCCCTCGCCAATCGCGGCGCCCTCACAGCGGCATTCCGCTGCTTCGATCGCATCCCACAGGAGCCCTCGATCGTGTGCTGGAACGCGCTCATCACTGCGTGCCTGCGCAGCGCCCAGCCCCATTTCGCCCGCCAGATCTTCGATCGAATGCCCCAGCGCGACCTCTCCTCCTGGAACATCATGCTCTCGGTGCTCGCGGTGCTCGATTCCTTCACAATCGCGGAGATTCGGGAGTTTTTCTTCCATCGAATGCCCGCCCACGATCTCACCTCCTGGAACGCGATGCTCAAAGCGTGTGTTCTTAGAGGGAATCTTTCCGAGGCGTCTCGAATATTCTCCGCCATTCCTCTCAAGAGCCTTGCCTGCTACACGACATTGCTTGCGGCGAATGCCCAGAGCGGCCATGTCCACGTGGCAGAGAAGATTCTTGAGAATATACCGGAAATAGACCTCGCGGCATCAACTGCCATGCTCACTGCATATGCCCAGAACGGGCAACTTGACAATGCTAGAATTCTATTCCAGAATCTTAAGGCCAGAGACCTTCTGGTCTGGAACGCGATCCTGGCCGCTCATCGTTACGACATTTTAGAGTGCCAACGCATCTTTGACGAGATGCCGGAATACAACGCTGCCTCTTGGATTACGCTTCTTATGGCATATGCCGAAGCCCGGAATCTGGAAATTGCCCAGCAGATTTTCAGGCACATTCCAGAACAAAACCTCGATACATGGAATGGAATGCTTTTATCGTACGCACGGAATGCCAAGCTTGAGTGTTCTAGCCGTTTGCTCAATCATATTCCGGAGAGAAATCACGTGTCGTGGACAATTGGAATAACAGCATTTGCCCAGTTTGGGCATCCAGATGAGGCATTTGCTATGTTCTCGGCGATGGTCATGGACGATATCACCCCGGATGAGTCGTGCTTTGTCTCTCTCCTTGTGGCGAGCACCTTTTCAGGAAAACTTTCTTGCGGGAAATCGGTTTTTGTCTCCATGATACTAGATTTTGGTATTTCTCCAACCAAGAGCCACTATGGCTGCCTCGTTGATCTTCTTGCTCGTGGCGGCTACTTGGAAGATGCGGCCAATCTCATTGCTGACATGCCCTTCATCCCGAGTAGATCTGAGTGGACGATCCTGCTGCGGGCACGAATGCTTCGAAGCATTGATGAAAATTGGGGATTGAGTTCCAGGAACAGGGGCCAACTCAAAAGGGACTCAGGTGCAATGCCAGGAAGAGGGAGATCTTTCTATCATCTTTCGAGTTTCACGCTATTGAAGCGGAGCTGAAATGAAGAAATCCCACGCTCAAGATTCTTCAATCCCATCTATGTGTCTAACCATTTTGGAACTTGGACGGAAGGAGAGACCAGGTTTTCGAGGCCGCAACTGTGAAGGGATGTTGCAAATTTTGTTGGTGAATGCGCAAAGTGCCAACGCTCAAGCATCCAAGAAGGAATTACTCCATACTTCACTGTGGAGTCAGGAAGGGCATGCTGCAATTTGGATAAGCACACTTATACCTTTCCAGGAAGCGGTACAGCTTTTCATTAGACTTAATCGAGATTGTAGGCACGAAGCTCAAGCTTTTTACAGACATGCTCAGGATTTATTCTCCTGAGGATGCTATTTTTATTCGTAGACTACATAGATTTCAAGTGTAACAAGACAGGTACATTACCTTGATCGAGTAAAATAACATGAATGTACATGAACAGTGAATGAGTGCTGTGAGTATTCCGCCGAAAAGGGAAGCTCATATTGATTTTATAAGTACAACGCGCTTGAGTGGATTGTCAGCTACGAGGACTGGCGTTGGCACCAACAGGAAGGGCTCTTCTTTCTCCAAGATACTCTACGCGACTTGATGAGCGGCAGGCTTTTCCTCAAAGTCTCTGCTAACACAATCTTTGACGATGATCTCTGGGACACGCTTGGTGTCCAGGGGATGGTCGCCAAGGATGCTGCCGAATGCGATATAATAGACTTTGGTGGCACATTGGAGATAGTGCTGCTCAAGGCAGAACCTAGTGATGCCCATTCCCAGGTATGGCGACCTTCACTGTTTTCTAGCAATGGCTAATTTAACTCACTTACAGATTGGTTCCAGCGACACCATCCACCAAGCTGTTCCAAGCTCTAACCAAGTTGTTCAAAGCTCTATCCAAGCTGTTGTAACTGCAAATGTGGACTTGGTAAGTGTTATGCTTTTTATTACTTCTCCTTGTGTTCACGTAAACAAAGAAAATAAGGTGGCACCCAAGGTGCAAAGTGTTCGATGTGGAGACAAAGAGTTTACTTCCAATATCTGTCCAACTGCGAATGACTTAATTATTTGGGCTACCCATGCATCCATTTGCATGTTTCTAGGTGAGTTGTTTCTAATGCTCTTTATTCTTTTTTCCTTTCTTCTTCTCTTTAGAGCATTATCTCGTTAGCTTAAGCAGGCTGTCGTCGGAGCTTCAAAAACTTCAAAAAGATCCAGCTTTTAGCGCTGATGTTATGGTAGGCTGTTAGTTGTTTTTGATTGTTTGGTGATCGGTTAAATTTTGCAGGGAACTTTAACAAAGCTTCAGTCTTTGAATCTTTTAGATGCAAATTGTGTACATGATGCATGAAAAGTAGCATCAGGGTTAGCTGTGGTGTTTTCTCTACCATACAGATCGTCTTTTCCAAGTGAGTTCTGTTTGTTTGAAGTATAATTTTATTTTGTTTTTATAGTGGCAAATTTTGTAGAAATTGATGATTACTTAGCTCTTTATTCTCATCATTCATTGTAAGTTATCATTTTTCTTATTTTGTTTTTATAACTTATTAACTTTTATTATAGACAAAAGGACTTGGCTAAAGATATATCTTTAGCCAATGAGTTGACTATTATATATCCAGATGGAGCATATAACCTTCTATCCAAATATTTTTGTGCCACAGTTGCTGTTGTGAAAGCCACAGCAACAAGGAAAAATATAAATTTCACTTGTATGGATATTCAAGGGAACAACCTATTAAATTAATTCAAATAAAAATAGTACCAGCACTGGTTTGTAAAAATGAAAGTGAATATATTATTTTATGGCAATAAACTCACCAAAACATTGTAATTACATTTTCACATCTTTACATTTTACAGTTGGGATGTTAATTAGTTATTTTTTAGTTCTAGTATACTACTAGGCATTTAGATTAATCTTATTTTTATTATAAAATTAAAGATGTTTGAAATTTATAAACTTTTATAAACTCAAAGTAAACATCTATTGTCAAATTCTTCACCTCATACATCGCAAATTATAACATAGATTAGCATGTGTTTCTTATGAAGAAGAGAGTCAAAAGTTGCATGAGTAGCTCCCACAATATAAAAACACCCACATGAGCTATAGAATTTGAAGACACTGGTGGAAAAGAAAGAAAAGAGTAAGGGGGTGATAGTCTTGGTTCAAAAGCCCTTTCCTTTTCAATTTTATTTTCTTAAAATCAACAGAGTCTATTCTTTAGCTAAGGAACTTCTACAGCTCAAGTAACAAAGGTTCCAAAAAAAACTCATATATTTAACCTAAGGAATCATTTTTATTTTACTCCTTTGATTGTCATATTTTCTGCTTATAAAGGAATGTTACTTAGAATGCCCTATAAACTTCAATGACTAATTCTCAATAGACTTCTTCTGCAATCACTCAACTTGACAAGCACCAAGAGGCCTGGAGCTTGACAAGTGAGGATCAAAAAGGCTTTGACCTAGAGCTTTGTGAATGGGACAATTAATAGTTTGGGTAAACAATTGTCTTCAACAGGCAAAGGCAAATTATTTCATCCTCTTTAATCTTGTCTTTCACTGCCCAAAAAGCTTGATTTTGAGGGCATGGTTCCCACAGGCATTTGCCACAGCTTTGAGAACTTGGTGCATGACATGATTTCCACAATGGATTTTCTTGTGATGGATTATCAACACCTTGGCTCTAGAACCTTGAAGGACTCTAATACATCCTAGGACAATTGTGCCACTTAACTGTTACTTGCACAACAACACAAGGGTGAGTTGACATCAACAACATTCACAAAATGACTCAATGCATATAGCTGATCTCTAGCTTCAATCTTCATCTCAAGTGGTGGTCACCTCCATAGTTCTCTTATCAAAGATGTTAGTTGCTCCAAGAAATCAAGGTGGTGAGTGTAATATTGTCGATTTCTTTCATGTGGACTAGACCATGGGCTGCACTTGGCTTCTCTACCATTCAGACACAGACTCTAAGACTCTTAGGTATTAGAAAACCAAGTAAATCTACCTCACCACCTTTGCCACAACAATACAGTGATGACTTTAGTATGGTAGTGTCTTCTATTGATTTGTCAACTGTTTAAGGAGAACCCCACGGAACTTGCCACAACCTTTGTCTAGTATTTTAGATGCACTGATGCTAACTAGGATGTGGACGATCACGAAATGGGAGTCTAACAATCCCTAGAGACAGCAGAACAAGCTCAAATCTTTTTGATCTAGTAGTTATTGAGGATGAGGTGTATATTAAGAATCTCCCATCAATCAGCCATCAATTCAACATCCTGTTTGCAATGAAAGAGGAAGCAAAGAAAGATACCACCTCATTCATACTTGACTCTTCCCCATCTTGTACCATCTAGGATGGTCCAAAGTCCAGATTGATCCACATAGCAGAGCATGATTAGGCCCTGCTTTTTTAACCTTGTCCAATGTGCCCACATGGCAGCTCCCAAGCCTTTCTAGCAGCAAGGATGCTAATTCATAGCCACTTGTAAATGCTCCATATAGTAGTGTTATAAATTCTTATATGCTCTAAAGCTTTTGGATTGGGCTTCCATACTCCTCTAGTGCCTAGGCATATTGAGAACACCAACCATCTACAATCATAAATATATCCTCTTCTAGCTCTTTTATGCTTGAGATCACTATTGTAGTATATATGATCATGGGATGATATTTAAATATAACCAAATTTAGATACTTTAAATAGAAACATCACTTTTCACTTGAGAAGAGAAACAAAAAATATACAAGAAGGTAAAATGTTTGATAAAGAATGAAAAAGAAGACCTTTCCAATGTTTAGAAGATTGCCGAAGAGACAAAAACATAAGTAACTCGTAAGCTCCACCTGTTCGAAGTTAGAAGTTAAAACACAAGCAGCAAATCCATTTTCTTACTTGGACTGGATTGAGTATGATCGGCAGCATCAACACTACTCCACTTGTAAAGTTGCTTCGATTCTCTACTCTGACTTCCTTGACCAATTCTAGCCTGGAAAACAACTTCGGCGATTAACAAAGAAGCAATGCCTGGAAACCAAAACACTTGCGCTTTGTTGTGAGGATGCTACATTAGTTTCTCATCAAAAAAAGGAGGAGCGATTCCAATCCTGACCTCAAACATAAAACGCTTCTCTTCATCCTCCAGTGGAGGAATCACTCATTTGGTCAATTGAGAATCCATGACGATGCACGACAAAGTTTGCAAAATGAGGCATGCAGCGAACTTCACCTGCAACATAACACTGAAAAAATAATTTGAGGAAGAAAACCAACTTACTGTCGATCTTGCGAGACCTTGCAAATTCCCTCTTGAACTTGTTTTCCTTGTGACACTTAAGAGGCTCTTGGAACAAATCCAAGAATGGCCCTGTTGTGTTCCTAACCTTCCCAAATCCCAAAGCTATCCAGCTCCGACCGAAGAAATTCTCCTTTCTTGCGGAGTGCTCAATCTCGTCAACTTCTCCCCGATTTTGAGGAATGCGAGGCAAATTTTTGTGGGAGCTTTCTCCAGCCGATTAATTACCAGGGGCTATACATGCAAAGCGTCCCAGATGGTGGAAGAAACTCTTGCTGGACGACTTGGACTGAGAGGACGAGATTGGACGCATGATGCTTGACGGATGACGAGGAGATTAAATCCTCGATCGCCAAGTCGTTGATCATGCGCTTTAGCTGAACATACCGCTCAACGTCCACTACCACCATATCCGGTCTGCTCTCCTTCTTTTCATCTCTATACAAAAAAAATGGACATACTACTTTTTCGCCAAATATTCTTTCACCATTCCTTAAGATAAAAAAAAGGTTTTCAGCAACTTACTGAAATATTTTTAGATTTGTGCTGAGCCAGAAATTCGTGGATTCAACCAGAGTTTCGAAGCGATTGGAAGCGGATTTTCACTCGCTTTGTCCCTGGATTTTTCCCATCTTTCACTGAGCTTGTTGATGGCATCAACTCTCTGCTTCCGGGTGAAACAATACGATAGCTTCAACTTTGCGGACTATGGTCACTGGGCCGAGACCAACAACAAGAGGGCGCTGAGACCGGACTGCCATTACATGGAGGACGAGATGGCGTTGGATCCTCCCCATGCCGACCGGATCACGCGGATGGTGGCCGTGGCGCTCCAGCAAGAGGAGGAAGAGAACAGGAGGCAACTGGCTAAGGAGGTGAACTACTTCACAAGGCAACTGGCGCTTCAGCATCAACAAGCCGGGCCGCCGAGCAAAAGAGCTCGCCACTGATCGTCGAATCATCCCCTGGAGGGATGAGAACAATCATGTATCACAAAACAAAACTTGTGAACAAACTACCAAGGAGCAAAAACTTTGTTGTTTGTACTTCACATACGAAGTGCAAATGTGATTGTGTACATGGCAATGAAGAGATCTTTCCAAGTTCTATGAGCTTTAGTGGCGTTCCTCGCGGAATATGGCCGTGAGTCATTTGGATCTTCCTTTAGCTAATAAGCCCTAGCTTATGTTACGAGCGAAGGAATTGTTAGCTGCCAGGGTATGCCGTATTATTGGTGCAAAGAAAATGTGTAGAAGTGCTCCAGTGACCTTGGAGGGCACTCAATTGCTAGATATGGAAGAGAGATTAGGACAGAGATTAGGGAATTGTGGAAGAGAGGATAAATAACGTGGATGACAGGTTAAGAGCGGTGGAAGACAAGCTTGAACACATTTTAGGCTACCAGATGAGACGGGAAATTGAACGCAAGTCATGGCAAAGTCTATACCGATGAAGATACTTCATCGGGCAACAAAGTTCTGAATTCAACCTCGGTGTCATCGACTGCTGACCGTGATTCCTCCGCCAAGAAACGAAGAAAGATCAGGAGCGACCTCGAGCATACATGGTTATGACTGTTCCTCTTCTTGCCGTGCGAGAGCCTGTTTCCGAAGACGAGCTAGATGGTGCTTGGCATTCGCAAGGCTTTAAAGGCCTTACATGGGCTCGTCCATCTTTGGGAGTCCATTTTATGTGGCTGTGCAGGCTTCATTCGACCAGCTAATGTCTTGTATGACTACGAGCGAAGAAAGTACGTATTGGTTGATCTAAAGGCGTGTGCACAGCGGGGATGGAAAATGCTGGGACGAGGGAATTCTCTGCGCAGAAGGCAACGGGGGAATTCCCTCGTACAGGTACACGACGAGGTCGGACCTCTACCTGGTGGGACTCTTGATGCATAAGCATTATCCTCGACTTCTAACCAGTCAGGCCTCTCGGACATCGTATCACTGTGGAAGGTGTTTTCGCGTAGTATCATCTATAGAAACGAAGAACACACTCGATATCTGGAAGGTGGTGACGTTTTGATTGATGCTGTGGACTTTTTTTAATATTTCCAGGTGCAAAGCCATTCAAGCAAGTCTCCAAGGTTGCCTCTAGAATGGAGCAAAGATCACGAAATGGAAAGCGACGGCTACTGGAAAGATACGAGCATTTTCTTTCCTCGTACGTGAATGCTGTTGGCTCCAACCGACGGCGCAGGATAATTCATCATTGGGACGTACTAGTAGACCGGACGCTCTCTCAGCGAGGTTTTTCCTTCAGCAAGCAAGAAGAAGAGCGAGAGCGCAGCTATGGAGTCGAGCGGCGGCGAAGAAGCTTATCCATCTGGTCAGAGCTTTCCTTATCGCTATTTTTCTCTCTCTTCGTTTCTTAGATTTGTTCGAGCGTATCTTCGCAGGTTCTTGCGAGGGAGACAGTCCTGTGCCGAGTTACATCCCCTCCAATCGGCAGCGGCAGCGGCGGGATCGCGAGGAGCTGCCCAGTTCGCACGAAGCGCTCCAAGCCGCGCAGGAGTACCAGCAACGTCTCGCAAGGAAGAGTCGCAGCACCATTAAAGTCTTGAACCAGTGCTGTGTGAGCGGCACATACGTTATGGTAAGCGAAGAACAAGCTCGAGGTTTATGCTTCGCCATCTTTGTCTTTTTTCCCTTTGATATCTTCACAAAGAACTTTCTGCAGACTCTTCCTTCGAACTACTGCAAGAAGATGATGCCGCACGGGAGAGCCGAGGTGATCGTCCGCGACCGGAGTAGTCATCAGTGGAGGATGAGATGGAACTGGACGATCCAGCCACTGATTGGTGCCGGGCCTTCTGCGTCCATCACGAACTCGTCAAGGGAGACGTGCTCGTCTTCCAAAAGGAGAACTCCTCCTCCAAGATGATCACGGTCCGCGTCGAGATCTTCAAGAGCCGCAAGCTGGTCAAATCCAGTGATCGCGCCAACCCCGCCAACATAGTGTTGCTCCCGCCAAAGAACCAGACGAGCTAGATCGAAGAACTCGGCGGAGTAGCCACCGGAGGAGACGTCCACGACGTCTTCGAGCGCAATCCCAAGAGGACGAGGGGGCTCCTGAGGAGAGAATGGGTGGAGAACTCACACTCGTGGCGGCGGGTGAGGAGGAGAGGGAGCGGCAGTGGGAGGCGGAGAAGAGAACTTGGCGCTGGTGCTCAAAAAGACGAGGTCGGCAGCCCGAGTCCGAGGAGCTCGGGATGAGCTTCAAGAGCTGAGGAAGATCCTCAATTTCCTCTCTACGATGCCAACTCGACCAGCTCAAATTTTAAAACGAGTGGCATATTCGCACGCATCTTAGGGCTTAGGGGTTTTAGGGTTTTCCCCATCTTCCTTCGCCCTTCTTCGCCTGGATCGATGCCTCTGTATGATGTGTTCGTGATCTTCAAGCCGCTGGTGGAGAGGAAGGTGATGACCGACATTCTGGTGCGCATTGGGCACAAGGTATACCAGCAAAAGGGCGTCGTCACCAACGTCAAGTACTTCGGCCGCCAGTTCCTGGCATACGACATCAAGAAGCGCGATGGGCGTCACTACGAGGTCAGCATTTTTGCTTCTCCCCTCCTCTTTCGCTTCGTTTCCGGGGATTTCGTTCTCTTCTCTTCGAGTTCTTTCATCGTGTTTTCAATGCCTTCTTTTTCTATAACGTTTTTCATGTTTGGGCCTTGTTTCGTGCTTGATGAACCAGGGGCACCTCATGCAAATGACGGTCATGGCAGCCACCGCCTTCAACGAGCAGCTCCAGTACTTGAACAACGACGAGCGGCTGCTGCGATGGCTACTCATCAAGAACAGGGGTACCAAATGGATGGATGCGCTGCAGGGCAAGCTCCCCTCGGTGGACGTCCAAGACGAGGACCTCTTCCGGGCCCGGTGACAAGCCTTCTACTCTACTCCCGTACTACATAAAAACAGAAAATTTGTTTATTTGGTTGAGAAACGAAGATGGTTCAGCGGTTTGTTCATCTCAAGCATATTTGGCTGACACTATGATAAATTCGCGGACTGATCACTGGGCCGAGACCAACAACGCCCAGGCCGCGAATCCTCCGAGGTGGCGAGGTAAACGACTACACACGGTAATTAGCGCTCTGGCACGGCAACAAGTGGAGCAAGAGAGCTCGCCACTGACTCATCTGCTGGGGAATCGGAAACAATGTTGTATCATAAAGGACAATCAGGATATGTAAGCAGGGTAAACAGATAAAAGGAAATGTTATTTTGAAAAAATTAGAGTGCTCTAAATAGATGTTAAAAAAATTAAAGGACAAAATAAATTTCAATAATCTTTATAATGATTACTGTTTCTTTTTTACTTAAAAAATACTTTTAGAATATTCTTATGTGACAATCTATTTATATATTTGTTTATATTTTTTATTTTTAGGTTTATATATTTAAAGTTTCACAAGTTAAATTTGTTTGTGTGATTAATATCTGTGTATTATATATAAGTTCTAAATTTTAAATCATAATTTTCAAGTTCTACTATAGAAGGGAAATCTTTATATTTAAGGAAAATATATTAAAACTTAAATATGATATTTTAAATATTTTTAATTAAAAATTAAAAATTAATATTTAAGAAATTAGATGTGTCTAAATTTGTTCCAATGGAAAAAGTATGCAATAAGGTAAAAAACCTGACAAATAAAAAAGAAGATAAAAAAAAAGAAAGAAGATTTACCAATTCATACAAAAGTGCTATCTTAAACACTTATATTGAAGGACATTTCTTGGAAGTGACAATATTAAATATTTAAATTTTAATATATTTTCTTTTAATGCATATATACTTATTAAATTTCCTATGAACCATCAAAACTGGAAGAACTTAAAAATTATAATTTAAAACTTAGAAACAATATATTGATAAATATTTTATTTATACAACAACTTATAAGATACCAATCATATAAAAAAAATTAGTTTGTGAAGCTTTAACTTTATAAACCAAAAAAAATAAATAAATAAATAAATTGTCACAAAAGAACGTTATAAAAGGATTTTTAAAAAAAGTAAAAATGAAAAAAATAGAAAAAAAACCTTATAAAAATTTTATTTGCTCAAAATTTTAAATCATGGATTACAGCATTTAAAAAATTGATAGAACAAAACATGGCACCAAAAAGAACAAATGTTTTCAATGTGAAAGGAATGATTGTCTATTGCTACTTTAAGGCCACTACAACAAACCCCTTAATATGTGCAAAAGTGGGGAGAACATTGCATCAAAAGATGTAATTGTTGACTCAAAAGTGGAGGATGTTTGTCTATATACCATGTATACTAGGGAGCAGCAGCAGAACACAGGATGATCAGGGTAAAAAGGCGCTGGTGGAAAAAGACAAGATGCCCGTGGAGTTGCAGCTTAAAGAGACTCCTATATAGTTACAGAATATCCTTATATTGTTCATGCTTGTTCATTTCTACATTACTGTGATGGTTTAATAGGAATGAATATGGACCAGTGTCTTGCTCTCCGACAAGAGAAGGCCAGTGAAGCTTTGAGGGAGTTTGTGGAGGCTTCAGGAAAGCCTCATGGAAGCTTGTGGAAACAAGAACAGTTTGTTTGACTTATTTATCTATCTATTTATATGCCGTTTTGATAGTCTCGCAGTGCCCATCTTAGAGCATCAAACTGATGGATGCAAGGAAGGATCGAAGATGTTTTCTTTCTCATGGGTTGAGAATCTCTTTTTGGACGTTCTTAGTCATTTTATTGTTGCTTGTTATGATCAGGCAGCCTAGCCAACATTCCAAAGAACAACCACAGGTGTAGCACAAGGTAAAATGGCTCCTTTTCCTTCCATTCTAGTGGGACGGGAAATTGAGTTGGGCTCATCATATGGCCTCGTCACCGAGTCCCCACAAGCAGGGGATAGATGATCGATCCTTGACCATCAGCAAACTCTTGGATCACTGTCACAATCATCACAGAGGCATTGCATAGCATTGCATCGTGACCGCCTCAAGATGGCCAAGCTCGGAAAACGCGGCAAGAATGAGGTTCTAAGACAGAGTATTCCAATTCGGCATAGTGCCCAGGCAAGACAGATCTCTTCAACGCACCCAAAAGCTGTGAGCATCATATTCCCAGCACGAGGTCGCGCATCAACATCAGAGCAAAGACTTGGACGGCTCGATCTAGATACCCAGTCTCTGGACATGCTGATAATATGATGTTCCTATTGCCACATTTCTTTGCTGCGGCCAGTCGAGAACTCTAAGCTGTTCGCAAAACTTTCCGTCAAGACACGAGTTAGAAAGAGAGAATAAGTGGCAAATTTCGCCGGACGGACCAGGGCGCGTCGGGGAGACAAGGTTTGCCCAGCTCCAAATTCTTAGCGTAGTAGTATTGAAAAACAGGGATTCTTCAGGTGCCATTTCTTTTTGTTCCGGTTTTTTTAGCATATTCTTAGCTTAGCATCTGCCGCTCTCTCTACTTGATTGTGCAGCGCCGTGGAAGGAAATGGTGGGTGTTCGACAAATGGTGGAGATCAGCAACACGCTTTATCACCTTCCGGAGCGCAAACTCTTTTCAGGGGCATGATCATCCTGCGCTCCTTGTGGAAACTTGTTTCTCGATCGAGTTCCACTCCACGCAATGCATGTGGATGATTTCTCACGCACGCAGTTGCCCTGGATTTGGAGTATTTCTCGACAAGCTTCTTACAAATGGGCCGTCGATCGGGATTGTGACAAGCTAAGCATCCAATTTTAAGGCTTTCTTGTGCTAGAAAAGGATATGCGTGAACTAGCCTTTTTCTATTTAGGGAAAGTTATGGAGCAGGGATTGTTGAGCCCAAATGGTGAGTATGATCTTGCCGATATCTACAAGGCCTGGAATCTTGGTCGCAACTGGATTATGTGGCGCCAGTTCTTGATGAATTTCTTCTGTAATGCCTTCACTGGATATGGGTGTTATATGCTTACCATACATTGGCCACCTCAGCTATCCCGTCAGGTATCTGCAATGCTAGGATGCTTAGGATTCTTCGTGTCCATGATCTCAACAGGTCAGTTTTGTTTTCTTATTTTTTTCCTAGAGACTAACAAGGGCTCCTGCAGGAATTATGCTGTCTCACTATGGTCGAAAGAAAATGATCACATACGGCTTTCTTATTGGGGGCATTAGCGGTATTTTTTCCGCAATGATCACGAATCAGTGGCTGGTGTTTCTGCTGGTGGTGATATTATTCTGTGGATTTCTCAGTCCTGCAACAATATCTTTGCCTGATGATTGGATTGACGGCAGCAGTTTGGCTATGTTCATAATGGTTAGTTTCATGAGGTATATGGCTTACATGGCTTGTATTTGGGCTGCCACCGTTGCTCCACCAGTCGGATGGCAAGTTCCAGCCGTTGCACTTGTGGGATCAAGCGCTGCTATTGTTTATGCAATGTTGGTTCATTTCTACATGTTGCAGTCACCACTAGAAATTTTAGACCCTGGTTGTGATGGTTTAGTGGAAATGGATATGGACCAGCGGCTTGCTATTCGACAAGAAAAGGCTATTGAAGCTTTGAGGGAGTTTGCGGAGGCCACAGGGAAGACTCTACCAGAAAATTTGAAGAGCATCAGGACAGTTTGCGGAAACACCAACAGTTTGTCCGTGTAGTTGGCTTGTGTGTGTTTGAGCTCGTGAATAGAAAAGCTGTGAGCTGTTCCACACTTTTTTGCAATCTCTTAAATTAAGTTTAGCACTTCTTTGTGAACTATGGATTCATCAATTGATTTTTGACATGGATTGATGTCGAGCGGTGAAAGAGGCGACGGAGTCAATGCAAGTCAATGCAGGTGAGACAAGGAGACAACGTAGCTGCTCCCCCTGTTAACCACTATTGTCAGGCAATTGTGGAGCTGCTCTATTTTGTGTCCAAGATCTCCTTGGTAGAAGCTGCTTCATAAGTACGATGAAATAGGTATAAAGGAGAAGTACTTGATATATTTTGGTACAACACTTCTTGATTTATATACACATCCTAGTTCCTTTGATTGCATGATCTCTTCTTGGTTCCAACACTCCCCCTTGATCTAATGTCTTTTAATCAGATTGCTGCTCCCCTTAGGAGACCAGTCTGAGTTGTTGTCATAGTCATTTAAACTGTCAAACTTCAATCATAGTCTTTGTGAATAGATCTGCAATCATCTTCATTGTAGGGATGTATCTCAACCTAACTTTTTCTCTCTTGATCCGCTCCTTGATAAAGTAATGAAACATCTCAAAGTGTTTGTTTCTCCTATGATGCACTACGTTCACAATGGATGTTGTGTTGTCATTATAGATATTCAGAGGTACTTGCATCTCAAAACTTATCATGGAGCAGATATCAAATCCAGAAAGCTTCCATAACAACATTATACTCTGCTTCACAAATAGACAATGCCACCATCCTTTATTTCTGGCTACACCATGATACAACTGTATTAGAGAATTTGAACATGTACCTAGTTGTTGATCTCCTATCATCCAGATTGCCAAAGATCAGCATCTACCATTCCATATGGTATAAGTGCACTTGATCCAATTTCTCCTCCTGCCATCCCTTTGTATTTGAGATAAAGTGATGAAGTTTACCATACATAACTAAAAATCCACTCCACTACATACCAATGTCTCTTTCTGGGATTTTGCATGAATTGGCATGCTCTAGAAACAGCTGCAGCTATGTCTAGTCTGTTTGATGTGGTTAAATACATCAATGCTCCAACCATGTTTTGATATAGCTTAGCCATCTCCTTCTTCTCCCCCTTGGAATGTGGTTGATCTGCTTTGGAGAGTTTGTTAAATTGGAGTGTTGGAGTTGGATTTTTCCTATCACACACAATTTATAAGCCCAAAAAAAAGGAAATTTTACCAAGATCTGTGTAGTGCACTTGAATTTAAAGCTGAACTCTAAGCCCATTATGCTACGAAACGAAGGTCCGGTACAATCCCACAAACACCAACTCCCCATATCT